ATATAGTAGGCTAATTTTTAAGTTTATAAATTTGTATGGTCTGAGAATCTATATAATAAAAGCATAAGCGACCTTTAAGGCGGAACAACTAGAACGACCAGTTGCTATGATGTGCACTGACCACCAGGGGGCAGACACTCAATGCAGGAGCTGCCCTCTGGTGGTCAGTGTGCTCCCACAGGGGGAACGCTGCTCAGACAGAAGTTGGGCTCACGGCTGGCGAGTGCACCTGTGGTGGCAGGAGCCTCTCCGGCCTCCGCAGCAGTGCTAAGGAGCAGCGAGCCGAGTGGTAAGGAGCAGCAAGCAGGAGGGTGGTAAGGAGCGAGGGGTCCCAGATTGCGAGAGGGATGTCTGACTGCTGGCTTAGGCCCGCTCCCTGTGAGCAGGTGGGCATCCCCTGAGGGGTCCTGGACTGTGAGGGGGTGAAGGCCGAGCTGAGGGACAACCCCCCAGGTGCACGGATTTTGTGCACTGGGCCTCTAGTGATATTACTGGTATAAATATCCAAATGGCCCTTGGCAGAAAGAAGGTTCCTCGCCCCTGGGCTAAGGGGACAGAGAGGTGGCAGGCTAGATTAAATTACTGATGAACGACAAACAAGTGAGACCTTAAGAGAATACTGATCCTAAACCCCAGTGTAGAAAAGCAGACAGAACATGCCCATCTTCCACCACTGAATAAATGTCCACAGGGTGAGTGCTCACTAGCCCCTGGCACCAGCCCCTGCAGATAACCTAAAGCTATTGTCAATAGCTGACCATGAACTGAGGGAATATTGCATCTCTTGCCAGAACCACTAAACCCCTCTTTCAGGCTATAACAGAATTCTGTTAGACCCATGTGCCCAAACCCTCCCAGAGGCTGTCAGGTCTACACCCACACCCTCTCACAACCCTGTTTTCCTTGGTCACCACCCAGAGCTTGTCACTCCAGTCAGCAGTCTGGTCTCACCTTTCCTAAAGCCCCCTGGTTCCTAAGGCTTGGTTCTGGGCTCACTTTCTTTGTGCCTCTACATCCTGCTCTCCTGCAGCAAGTTCACACTCCCCCAGGCTTCGAGGCCATCGATTTTAGGGACCAGTGAATCCCAAATGCCTGTCTGCAGGTGGAATCACTTCTCAGCTTTACATCCATCTATGCAATCACCTACTCAACACCTCTATTTGCCTATTTTATGGGTGTCTGAAACCCAATATGTTTAAAACTAAATGTATTTTCTCTCCCAAACCTGCTTCTCCTCTGGGTTCTCCATGTTAATAAATGGCTCCAGCTTATGCCAAACTGGGGTTCGTGTTACTTCCTTGCTTCCATTCACCACCATCTCTACCCGTGATGAATTACATGCCCTGACATTTTGTTCAATAAATAATTATTGAAAGCCACCTAGTTTCAGGAAGTTTTCTAGGCACTGGGGAGAGTTTAGAACAAAAAAGACAGAAATCTCTGTTCCCTGTGGAGCATATGGTATGTCTTAGTAATATCAGCTATGTGGTCCTAACATTTTGTCTGGCGATTTAGGGTGTGCTCCATAAACAGCATCTGTCTTACAATATTTAAAATGACAGAGCCCTGGCCGGGTGACTCAGTTATTGGAGTGCCATCTGTACACCAAAGGTTGTGGATTTTATCCCTGGTTTGGGAGCATACAGGAGGCAATAGATCAATGTTTCTCTCTTTCTATGTCTCTCTCTTTCAAATAAATAAAACATATCCTCAGATAAGGATAAAAAATAATACAAATGAAATAAACTGAAGGAGAGATTAACTACTTTTTGAGCAAGGAATTGCATCACACTTAAAGAGTAACCAAGCTTAAAGAAACTTGAATTTGTTTCCAATAAAAAAATATTTTTGAGGGTGTTAGAAATTTACAGTCTGGAGACCTAAAGAGATTAACAAACATTGTTTCTATATATTGAAGTGCAGTGATGTGAAGGGCTCTATAGTGTTCATTAATTAATTTAAAAATATCTAGTGAACATCTGTGTTGAGCTAGTCACTGTAGATAGATACTATCAAGAACTGTGTATGATTTTATCCTATTTCCAAGCTAACACAGTTTCATGAACGAAGGTAGAAAGTACTGGGTCACAGCCAGGAGCCTGAATATTCTATTCCCTTCAGTTCCCCCTGCCTCCCAAGTCCCATGGAGCTACTGCACATACAATGGGTTTGTGTCACAACTGAGGAGCCACAAACTTAGAAAACCTCAATCTTTTATAATGAATAATAAGCCTAAATGCCCAGCCTTTGCCCCAGAGGGAGATTGTCTTTAATATACTGGATAGCCACAAACCTGCCTTCTTCATTGGAAGGAGACAACTACCTCAATATTCCAAAGCTTGTCCCTATGCAAACAGCCTTGAAAAAATAGTTGGGGGGGGGGGTGGATTTTATTTTAAGGAATTGGCTCATGCAATTGTGGGGTTGCCATGTCCAAAACTGACAGGGTAGACTGGAGAGCCAGGGAAGAGCTGATGGTGCCATTCAAATCTGGAGGCAGCATTCCTTTTTCCTTTCAGGAGATCAGTCTTTACTCTGAGGTCCTTCAACTGACTGGATGAGGCCCACCCACAGTATGGAGGGTAATCTGCTTTACTCAGAGTCTACTGTTCTAACTGCTAATCAATCACACCTAACAAAATATCCTTACAGCACCATCTAGACAGGTGTTTGAAAGAAAACTAGGTACTATTAACTAGTCCAGCTGACATTAAATTAACCATTACAATAGTCCAGAACAAAAGCAAGAGACACTCGTGGAGAATTGTATCCCAACATGTACTTAATGTTTAAAACTCATTAATTACTGTGTCTTTAGACTCCCCCTGCCCTCCCTCCATTTTAATTTTATTAAGCAATTATGAATTTAATCTCATTCATTTTGCATTTCTTCAGCTTTACTCTGAAGTTGGTTCTAGGTGCTTGGGACAGTTTCACTCCTGCCTTTTAAGGCACTCACCAGACGAGAGTACGTGAAGGGCTCTGATGAAGGTGTGCACAGGGTGGTTGTGGGAACAGGTAATGCAAACAAAAGAAAAGGGAAGAGAAGCTGAGCCCTCCCAGACCCATAGGTGTCTCTGGAGAGTAATTTTATAGGGTGACCAAATGTCGGTGACCACCCGGAAAACGGGATGCAAAGGCTCACATATTAAGAGTAGTGGCTGGTAGTTCATAGTTAGTTAGTGTCATCCTTTACTATTCTGTTTTCTGGCTGATTTCAGAAGGATTTACAAGATTTTGGCTTCCTCTCCTTCTCACTAGAGGCCGCCCTCCAGGGCCCCCTCCGCGGTGCCCCTCCACTTGTGACCCCGCCTCCGTCCTCTTTGACCTCAGCCTCTCAGGCTCCGCCCCTTTCTCCGTTCCGGAACCGCCTACCGCGCGCTCCTCTCCTCCCGGCCCGGGCCCTGGCGCGGAGGACTGTGGGAGCGGCTTCCTTGGATACGCGCTTGGCAACGACCAGGCTCCGAGCTCAGCCTGCGCAGGGTTTTTGATTCTCCAAAACTCCGCGTCGTCCGGACTCCACTCACGGTCGCCCTGCTCCCCTCATCACGAGGTAGGAGAAGAGCCGGGGGCAGGGGCGCCTCGGGAGCCGGCGCGGGCTCCCCGCCTCCTCGGGGACTCGGGGGCTGGCTTGTGGGGGCCGCCTGTGGCCTCTGCCTGCCGAGCGGCACCTCCCTCCAGGGCCCGCCTGTCCGCCGGGAACGCGGGCGCCCTTTGCCATCAAGTTTGTGTGGCCGCCTGTCCCAAGTCATAGTCACGCCTGAATCAGGAAAGCTGGCACCGTGAGCACACCCCTTTAATGTCTGTGTCGTGTAAAGCTTGCGAAATGTGGTCCCAGGAAAGGTGGAATTCGTGAGGTGTACAAGCACGCAGCAAGATGTTCTCACTCTCCCAAAGGTGAAAACAGCCAAAGATCGGAAGCGCTGTTTTCCCCAAATCCCTTCTAGGCCTAAAATCCCACTTTCTCTACAGGGTCGATTTCCTGGCTGTGAGCTTTAATAGGAACTACAGTGGGCGTGTTGGAAGCAGATTGTCCAGCATAGTCAGCAGAATATCATGAAAACCAATACCCTTCACATTTCACACAAAGGTTTTGCTGGCATTCGATTTTACGTTGAGGGGCATCCCCCACCCAGGTCATTTCAACACTTCCAGTCTTTGGCGAGGCTTATGCTATGCATGAACTTTTTTTTGAAATAGCTTGGAGAATCCAGCAAGCCAGAGTTGTTACCTTTGTTCTGCCACCCCTACCTGTTTGCTGTGTATGGATACTTCTTTTACTATTTCCGGCTTGACTTTACACATCTTTCAAGTGTGTGCGTTCACTCGCTATAAACTTTTCAATCTGGCTGCAACCCAGCAGAAAGGATGGAGCTCTGGTTCTAAAAGTTGCTGTTTTTATGATGTACGTATAAGCCAAATTAACTTAAACAGGGCTCATAATCAGGCAGTTCTTGTTCAGCACAGCAGTCCTCAAAGTGTGGTCCTCAGACCAGTAGTGTCAGGAGCATTGGGAACTGGTTAGAAATGTACATTCTCAGGGGCTAAAGGGGTGCTGATGACTCCCACCCAGGACTTACTGAGCCAGAAACTCTGGTAAGGGGGAGTAGCAATCTGTATTTGATCTGAAGTTGGAGAACTTCCATATTGCTGTATATGTAATCCCAATGAATTATTATTATTATTTTGTTAATGCTCACCTGAGGATATTTTCTCCATTGATTTTTAGAGAGAGTGGAAGGGAGGGGGAGAGAGACTGAGAGAGAAACATTGATGGAAGGGAGGGGGAGAGAGACTGAGAGAGAAACACCTGGATTGGTTGCCTCCCCCACATGCCCTGACCCGGGCTGGGGATAGAGCCCGCAACTGAGGCACATGTCCTTGACCAAAATTGAACCCGAGACCCTTTTAGTCATAGAGCCAACACTCTCACCACTGAGCCAAACTGGCTAGTGCTCAATGAATTACTATTATTATTATTATTATTATTATTATTTTTGGCTGGGTACAGTGAACTTTATTGATGGTGCACAACAAAGTAGGGCTCCCTATGCCCCTCCCCTTCTCCAGGGGGTCTGGGATGGAAACAGTGGTTAGGAGATTCTCAGTGTGTTGGGGGACCGGTCTGGGGCAAGGACTCCCCAGCAGCTGAGGGCCTCTCTTCCTCTTGCTGGGGCTGGTGGTCCAGGGGACTCTTAACTCCTTGGAGGCCATGTGGACCATAAGGTCCACCACCCTGTTGCTGTAGCCATATTCATTGTCATACCAGGAAATGAGCTTGACAAAGTGGTCATTGAGGGCAATGCCAGCCCCAGCATCAAAGGTGGAGGAGTGGGTATCACTGTTAAAGTCGCAGGAGACAACCTGGTCCTCAGTACAGCCCAGGATGCCTTTGAGGGGCCCTCTGATGCCTGCTTCACTTCCTTCTTGATATCATCGTATTTGGCAGCTTTCTCCAGGCGGCAGGTCAGATCCACAACCTACACACTAGGGGTGGAGACACGGAAGGCCATGCCAGTGAGCTTCCCATTCAGCTCAGGGATGACCTTGCCCACAGCCTTGGCAGTGCCAGTAGAAGCAGGGATGATGTTCTGGGCAGCCCCTTGGCCATCACGCCACAGCTTCCCAAAGGGGCCATCCATGGTCTTCTGGGTGGCAGTGATGGCATGGACTGTGGTCATGAGTCCCTCCACGATGCCAAAGTTGTTTGGATGACCTTGGCCAGGGGGCCAAGCATTTGGTGGTGCAGGACGCATTGCTGACAATCTTGAGGGAGTTGTCACACTTGTCATGGTTCACACCCATCACAAACATGGGGGCATCCGCAGAAGGGGAAGAGATGATGACCCTCTTGGCTCCGCCCTTCAAGTGAGCCCCAGCCTTCTCCATGGTAGTGAAGACACCGGTGGACTCCACAACATACTCGGCACCAGCATCATCCCATTTGATGTTGGCGGGATCTCGCTTCCCGTTGATGACAAGCTTCCCATTCTCAGCCTTGACTGTGCCTTTGAACTTGCCATGCGTAGAATCCTACTGGAACATGTAGACCAGGTAGTTGAGGTTAATGAAGGGGTCATTGATGGCGACAGTATCCACTTTGCCAGAGTTAAAAGCAGCCCTGGTGACCAGGCACCCAAAGCGGCCAAATCCGTTCACTCCGGCCTTCACCATCGTGTGTCAGGGTTGTGGCTGCTGGCACAGCACAGGAGTAGAGGCTGTCTGACAAACAGGAGGAGCAGAGAGCCTGAATTATTTTTTTAATGCTGAATAGTTTTTCACTGCATAAATATACCACATTTTGCTTCTCCATTGTATTGATGGGTATCTGATCTAGTTCTAATTGTGGCCTACCATAAGTAAAGCTCCTGTGAACATTGTTATACACATCTCTTTGTGGACATGTTTTCATTTCTCCTGGGTAAAAACTTTGGGATGAAATTGCTGGGTCGTAAGAGATAAATGTTAATTTTATGAAACTGCCAGGCTTTTTTTCCAAAATTGTACAGTTTATACTCCCACCAACAATGAGTATTCCAGTTGCTCCATCTCTTTGTTGACCTTTTCAATTTAGCTATTCTGGTGGCTGTACAGTGGTTTCAGCCTGGCACTGTCATTAACTATTACATACCCCTTTTTCTGCCCTTGATACTAAGCTCCTTGAAAATCAGGACGATGATATATCCCTCTCCAGTGCTTGTCACTGTCCTTTGATGGAATAGGTTTGGAATGAATGTGAAATAAGGGCAATGAATGAACGTTTTGACACCTACTAGTAGTTTTAAGAATTTGACATGAAAAAAGTTTTAAGGCTGGAAAAATGTGTAGAAGTAAATTTGACCAGAAAAGTTTTTAAATAGTTATTCTTTATTTCAATTAAGAATTATTTCTTATCCCAAGAGCATATTTACACTGCTGATTTTTCCTAGGTACAGATGATGCAGAATGTACACCTGGCCCCAGAGACAGATGAAGATGACCTTTATTCTGGTTACAATGACTACAATCCAACCTATGATACCGAGGTAAAAAAAAAAAAAATCTATGTTTTTTACATTGGTTTTTGTTAAGCAACTGGTTCATGAAAACTTTAAATTAAGTAAGCTGTTTAAAAGGTTAGAAAAGTGCTTTTACTGAAGACTCTGCTAACTTCCTTCAATAATAATAATAGTGGTAGAGGGGGAAATCATGAGAAATGTTATGGAAACAAACTAGGATGATTGGCACATACTGTATTCTTCAGTGCTAATTATCTGAATGTGTGAGTTAAAAATACTTAGATCGCTTGAAGTAGCTAAAATCAGTTGTTTTTAATTTTCTAAATTTGAAATGTCATGTAGAGTTACTTTAATTCTTTTAATTAAATTACGTACATATTTTCTAGAAAAATTAGGAAATAGAAATAGGTATAGAGAAAAGTTAAAATCATAGAACCTGTCTCCACCCAGAGATAAGCATTAAATAACTTATAGTGCTTGTCTCTCCATTTACTTACGCAAATATGTGTATATCTCTTTATAGTTTGGGATAAAATGGTGTTATACTCTGTGCTGTTTTGTAACCTGGATTTTCTCTTTTATTAATATCCACCTCATGTCAACAAATCTATATCTACTTAATATTTTATGGTGTAGTTATTTAAAAAGTGAAATTAGTACTAAAATGAATATTTAAAATCTTTTTACATCATTTTGAGTTATAGTTTCCAAATTGTAAGAGAGAGAAAACAAAAAACCTTTTTATAAACTCATCTTGAATTAGTGTGTGAAAAAAGGATGAAGGATGTGGGAGCTAATTTGCTTGCTAGTGTATAAAAATCTAATATTAGCATTTATAGGACTTTTAACTAATTTAGGAAATCTCATTCTATTCTACTGAAGTTTTTCATATAGTCATTTTCAAATTATATTTTCCTCTAGAGAAAAATGGTAGTCTATGAATTTGAGACCTAGAAAGAAAATAGAAACCATTTACTTACTCTATATGAAACAAAAATATAGGAGATACTGATCATTGTAGAAAATTTGAAAAATACAGAAGATTGGAGAAAAAAATGAATGACATAAATCCTGTCACTCAAAGATTACCTGTATTAGACATATCACCTGATGTTTTGCTGTATTCCTTGTCTTTTACTACATAGGTGTTTTTCTCCCAACAAACACACACACACACACACACACACACACACACACACACACACACAGGATTTTATAGACTCCTTTTTAAAAATTTGCATGAAAACATAGGCATTTTCCTATATTAGTATAAATTATTAAAACCACTGATATCTCCTCTTTTATTCCAGTTATAAAAGTAATATGTATAGCCTTGACCAGTGTGGCTCAGTTGGTTGGAGTGTGGTCCCATATACCAAAAGGTTGTGGGTTCGATTCCCAGTCAGGGCACATGCCTGGGTTGCGGGTTCGATCCCTGGTCAGGGTGGGTATGGGAGACAACTGATCAATAGTTCTCTCTGACATGGATGTTTCTCTCTCTCTCTCTCTGTCTCTCTCCATTCCTCTATCTAATATCAATAAAGAAAATAAATTATACGTATAAAAATATACATGTTCATTATTGAAAAACAAAATTACCCATAGTTATATTATTCAGAACTAACTACATTTAATGTTTGCTTTGTTTTTCCTTCATACATAGAGTCTTAGCATGTTTGAATTGAACTAGCATTTACTTTTCTGTTTGCTTTTTTTACATATAGCTACATTGTGGGCATCTCATGATAGCAAAAACTGAAGTAAATGTAATATTAATGGCTACATAATACTGAAGATGTACAGTTGTTTGTAACTGTTTTTGATCATAGGATATTTATTTCCAGTTTTCTGCTACTATAAATAACAATGCAATGAACAATTTTATGCATAAATAATTTTCTGTATTTTGATCAAACATTTTCTAGGATAAAGTCCAAAAAATGGAATGTAGATAGTTCATGAATATGATCGTTTTTAAAGCACCAGAGAAACTTCCTAACTCCTTAGGTCATCACAGTGTGGCTTCATTATTTCATTTGGAGTGAATATTCAGAATATAAGAAACAAAAATAAATCATATAGTAAAATAAAAATAATACTTGCTTTACTTTACCCATGGTTTCCTTTTCTCTTACTTAATTGTAATAATAACAAGTTTAATATATAACTGAATTACTTGAAAGTTATTTAAATATTCCATAGATTTTGCAAGTTGTTAATGAAAAAGAACAAATTACAAAAGTTGTGTTTGTAATTGGAGAATTTGTTGACAATTGTTAGTTTGTCAGAATTCATTGAGCTGATTAATCAAATTTTACTAATAGTATAGTGTGCTGAGCCAGCTCAGCCAAGGGTTCGGCAAGCCTGAGTGGGGGTGGTGAAGGATGAAGAAAAGACAGACAAAGAGAATAAGCTGGGTGTAGGTCAGTGGTCGGCAAACTGCGGCTCACGAGCCCCATGCGGCTCTTTGGCCCCTTGAGTGTGGCCACGAAGTTTCAATCGCACTGTACGTGCGCGCCCGCATGTGGTATTTTGTGGAAGAGCCACACTCAAGGGGCCACAGTTTGCGGACCACTGGTCTAGGTGGATCTTCCTGTGCCTGGCTGAGGCCACAGAGAGAGATCCAGACAGCAAACTGAGCCTTTATTTTATAGCCAGAGGTAAACAAGGTAGTGGTCACCATAGTTACAGTGTTCTTGTGAGTTTCACTTGCTACATCTAACCTCAGCCCATTAGCTACCCAGATAAGATCTAGGGAGTGTCATAAGGTCAAGCCTAATTATGCTAAGAGGGCTGTGCCCTCTAAGCTGGGACTTGTTTGTGGCTTTGCCAACAGGTCAGTCTGAGGCTTAACCCTATAGCCGTTCCCTACAGTTTAGGAATACTAGAAGACTTCCTTTTCCAAAAAATCTGCTGAAATACTATAATCAATTATGGTAAAGGTTGCCTTTGGTTATATACTTCATGTGAAAGTTGCCTAGTTTCTATAAGTAACCAAGAATTGTGTATTTATTTAATTTTATGTAGCTGATATGCAAGGTTATAAAGATTATTTTAAGTAAAAATTAAAGAAGGATGCTTGTACATAAAATTTTTAACGTACACAGTATTAACTCCTGATTATACAAAAATTTTACTTTAATTGTCTGCATAGTTTTAAAAAGTGAATTGATATTGACTCTATTTTTAATGTATTATTTGTATTTATTTATTTATTTTTGTATTTATTTATTTTTTTGTTAATCCTCACACTAGGATATTTTTTCCATTGATTTTTAGAGTGAGTGGAAGTGAGGGGGGAGGGAGAGAAAGAGAGAGAGAGAGAGAGAGAGAGAGAGAGAGAAACATCGATGTGAGAGACACATAGATTGGTTACCTCCTGCATGCACCACCCCAACTGGGGCAGGGGATCAAACCTGCAACCCAGGAATGTGTCCTTGACTGGGAATTGAACCCAAGACCCTTCTTTGCATGGGCCAGTGCTCTAACCACTGAGCACACAATCCAGGCCTGTATTTATTTTTTAATAACCAAGTATATTTTTGTGAAATGTATCCACAGAAGACACTTTCCAAGTCTCCCAGGATGCCTGAAACTGGCAATGGTACTGAATCCTATAAATACTATGTTTTTTTCCTATGCATACATATTATGGTAAAGTTTAATTATACATTAGGCACAGTAACAGATTACCAACAATAACTAATAATAAAATAGAATAATTATAAAAATATACTGTAATAAAAGTTATGTGAATGTCATGCCGGAGGGCACCAGGGAGGCTGCAACTTCATAGTTGGGTCCAGATCCTTGTCACCACACAAGAAAGAATTTGAGATTCAGTAAAGCACAGTAAATTTATTAAAAGTACTCACTTGAGAAGGGAGTACTGGTGAACTCAAAGGACTAGATACCCCAATGAGGTCTGGGTAGAAGGTTTTTATAAATGCGGGCGAGGGTGGCATAGGTTGTACTTCAGCTTCTGATGCTGGTGGGGTGACTGCTGATGCAGTTTGTCCTCCTTCCCCTCTGGAAAATGATTTCTTTTTGGTCCTCTTGGAACTGTCATGGTGATTCAGGAAGAGGAGTAGTACTAAAACTGCAATGTAAATTTATTCTAATGATATTATAATGACCTGTTGATCATTTGTCTGTCGATAAGGCTGCAGAATCTGCTTGAGAATGTTTTTTGTTTATCTTGAATACAGGAAATTGGGAGGGGGACACGGGGAACAGGTGGTCAGCAAAAGTCACATCCAGGACAGAAAAGGGGAGGGATAGACCTTGAGGCCTTTGTTCCCTAATCTAAATTTTCTGACTCATACATTCCCCCTGAGAGATTTCAATCCCATAATCATGTGGGAAGATGAAGGGTTGGTGTTTCTTCTGTAGTTGCTTCAGGCTGAGATTTGGTATAGACCAGGGGTGGGCAAACTTTTTGACTCGAGGGCCACAATGGGTTCTTAAACTGGACCGGAGGGCCGGAACAAAAGCATGGATGGAGTGTTTGTGTGAATTAATATAAATTCAAAGTAAACATCATTACATAAAAGGGTACGGTCTCTTTTTTTTTAGTTTTATTCATTTCAAACGGGCCGGATCCAGCCCGCGGGCCGTAGTTTGCCCATGGCTGGTATAGACCCTGCCTAGCCTGGGATTGAAGATCTCTTCCTGCCTGATCTAAGGGCCCAAGCCCTATATCCCCTGGATGTTGAGGTATGGTCTGGAATTCTTGGATTATAATCATTTTTACATGAAACTGTTATAATCTAGAAGATTATAAATTTAACAAGAAGATTAAAAAGGCGTGGACCAAATAATAAAAAAAAGAATAGTTACTTAAGGACCAAGGAGTAGAAATACTCAGGTGAAAGAAGTGTTCCAAAAGACATCAAGATCTGTTCCTTAGTTATACCTGTGAAGCTAAGACGCCCGTTCGTAGATTTTTTGGATATTACATTCAATCTGACCTGATTTGTTTACTTATATACAGCAGGTTTTGTTAATGACTTCACAGATGCCTCCCT